TAGATTTAGGTATAGACGGAACAAGGGCGTAGATTTAGGTATAGACGGAAGCAATGTTTAAACTATACCTGCACCCTTGTTTTTCTGACTGCTTGCCTGTGCCACAGATGTAGCTCCATCTGCTTATTTGGGTTATACCAGTTATTCAAAATGAAGCTTGAAATAATAGCATAGGAGAATCAAGCATTATATAAGTAATAATTGGGTTCAAATTGCATGACGCTAAATACTGTTAAGTATACTTTCAGTTTTGAATGTACCGCAAAGATTAGCTTTGTATTGCTGGAATTGACCAACGTTGTCACTGTAAGACCATTGTGCCAACACACGACAGGAAGTAATTTCCCAAATTAAGGTAATAGTTTGACACTTAAATTCTCTTTAGGTCCATCTTTCAACTGTTTGCCCTCGACAGAGTGACGGGTTTGTAAATCATTCATACAATTAGATTATATTAACTCACAAACTGGGTGCAGATTTAGGCATGGATGTTAGTGATATGTCACTAACAGTATTGTAGGTGGACTGTGTGTGTTTAGGGGGGCTGATTTGGTCCCTACCAGTGTTGAAACAAAACCTACGCCCTTGGCAGGTTTAAACCTCAGATCCAGTGTGCCCATCCGCACGGTTTCTCAAATAATTTACTTACCGAAAGGGTTCGTTATCATGTGAGCTCATGAATAAAAAACACAAAAAATGAAAACCCGGCCCCTCCCCCAGGAAGGCCATCTGTGACATTTTCATGTCAGTTACTACGTACCTACAAAGACAATCTGCCATAATCCCGTCCAAAATGTGTAATACAATGCTGTGCACATTACGAATGTTATTACAATAAAATTCGTGTCCTGTTATTATTGAAATGAATTATAGGCTTGAGGTAGTAAAGATGTAGCGAAGTTGTAAAATATCTTTTGTATGTCGGAGCTCCCGTTGCTTTGACGAATGAGCAAATGATCCCCATTCGACCACTGAAACATCCGTAATCCATTTCATGTATACTCAGCTATAACAAAATAAATCAGACAAAACCCTTCTAGCGCCGACTTTTAGTGAAAATGCAGAGCTACTCGTTATATCACGAATTGTATTAATTTTAAGAACATGCAATGAAATTGCTGCTTAAAGAACATGCATGTGCGTTTCGCCAAATGGATAACCATAACAATTAGAGGGGACCAAAATATAGGCTGCCGGGCAATACTCATTTCGTTCCGGATAGCCTCTATAGCCCAAATCACCAAATGTAACTAGTTTGTTGTTTTTCAGTTTCCAGATTGTGTTAATCAACCGATGTGAAGAAGCCTGCAAGCCCGAGACTGCAGAAGACCAGGGAAAACTAATTTTATTAAGCAAATAAGTATAACTGCTACAGTACAAAGCAGGCTGCTCATTACTCAGAAACCGATTCAGAAACTCGGCTAGTAGGACTATTTCTACGATTATATAGCCTATATCTCTGTTTCACTTAACACTATATAACTCTTTGCACGTATAACATTTATCGCGTATCGTATGTACTGACATTTCAAACCCATCACCACGTCGTTGCCATTTCCGAGAACGGGCGAAGAAAACACGTTTACTTCTGTCTCTATTTCACAAAACAATCGGCTTTATGAAAAATAAAGGTGAATCACACGTACAGTAAAAGCTCTTAGGCATTTATGAACGGTGGCTTATACAAGAATGTATTAGAAAATATTTTTCAAGCACTTTATATGTTTACAAGTCTGTTATATTGTTTTCGGATATCAACTGTCCTGCATTAAAGGAACATTGAGATCATTTTTAGGCCGAAATATGTTTTTATTAGTAAGTCTGGCAAAATTCAGGAATAATGTGACAACACGAGTCTATAGTCTCAAAAGCATGCTTTGCATAAAGTAGATATCAATTAAGAATACTGCGATAGGGCTGCCATTTCCAAACACTTAGATCTTACAATATTATAATTACCTATTTTATAATAATGGCGCTGATTTGAGGCAGCATCAATTATCCGCCCGTCGCACCGCACTGAGCACACGGCGTAGCGCAAAAAGGCCGATGGAGAGCGGGCATCAATACCGATACCGGCCCTAGGCTGGTCCGCCGGTGCTCCGCCCGGAGCCTCTGATCATCTGCTAGCCCAGCAGGGAGATGGCACCGCGTGCCAAGGCTCTGAAATAGCGCCGGGGGAAGTGGAGGTGGACGTGCACTTCCAGCACACTGCGCTTCGGACTTCCTGCCTGTCGGTCCGCCGTATCAGAGAGGCTGGAGCGGATCTGCTGCACCGCAGTGTCCCGGGACCGAAAGTCATCAAGACCAGAAAGGCATACTAATATACTAGCCTACTTTTATTCCTTTTTAACTAATAGCCTACCGAATTATGTCAAGGGTGTTTAATTCAGTATTGGTGGGTATGTGCATCCCAGGATTTATCTATAATCTTCGCCCTGACTTAATGATGTTCTTAGTATTTTGATTTTGATAAATGATATTTCAAGTTTTTTTTCGGCAAAATCAGGAAGTGGCCATTTGAAGGCTGCATTTCCAGGGAAACGTGCATTGTTGGATTGATTTAAACAGTGATTGTAGTTACATTATAGCGGCAAGCCTTTCCTGAACTATCCAAGGGCTAGGCGACGTCTACAAGCAGCAGAAACATGCCTGCTGGAAACCTGGCGGCGATGTTCTGACAAAACGTCCTCCTTTATCAAAACATCCTACCGCAGTGCTAATCGATAGCCCTAACCCTAACTCTTACCCTAACCCCCCAAAAACCCCTAAAACCCCTACCTTAACCCTAACTCTAACCCCTAAAACCTAACCCTAATCCCAAGACGGTGAAACTGCATATGCGCAGAAAGGCTCGATAGCACGTATGTCTCGATAGGTAGGATGTTTTGTCAGAACACCGGCACCCCTCAAGATCTGCTGGTACTGAATAACAAGAGGAGTCCCAACACCTGTTTTCCCCAATTTTCACTGCACACGGCAAAACATTCACTTTAAATACATAAAAACACCAGGGATCACGTCTGCATTTTACCAACACAGAGTAATCAAAACACTCTTTATTCCCTCATTGCCAGTAGTGTTCCGTAGCCCGTGTACAAGTGTTGCATTACACATAAACACGCATGAGCTTGCAGTTTGTTCACAGTACATAAAACTTCTCATTCTCATTTCTACAGATTGTCTAGCCATTTATTACATTTGCCATGCTGATTTTACTTTTTTCTGTTATAGGCCTAATATTAAATTTACCTACAGTAACCAGAAAAACATAATGGGTTTGTATATGAACGATACGGTTTTGTTTCGGCTTTTACAGTTCACAGTTGTTCTCTTTATACAACTTATATAAAGTGATTTTGCAGAACACACACACACACACACACACACACACACACAGTTGGTCATATATATATATATATATATATATATATATTTTTTTAAATAAAAATTACGAGGAGCAAGAATCCCGGGGGGGCTTTTTCTGTCGCCCTTCTCCGGTCGCGCAAATCGGCCGGTGCTCAGGGGTATAAACAGGGTATTTCGGAAGAAGCTGCGCCTATTTAAACGGAACACATGAGAAGCTTGGCGGAAGACAGAGACCGCAGAGGCCAGGGGGGTGTGGGGAGCGGGGGTGAGCGATTGAAGGGCGAGCTGAGTCGAGCCGCGTCGAACTTAACCGAACTGTGCCGAGCCTATCCGAGCTGAGCCGAGCCACCTACTCAGTGCGCAGAACGGCAGCAGCGCGCTGGATGCAGCGGTTCGTTTGTGCGCGTCTCCGGCGAAGTGGGAAGTGGATGTGCATGCTTTTCAGTTTCATTTTCAGTCGGGGCGCTTCACACTCGGCAGCTCTCATGGTTTTATGAAGTGACCGGCTGCCCACCAGAGGGATTGGCGCTTTTTCTGCAGCACCGCGAGTGACTTTAATGGGCTCCGGAACCATGGAGCACTGGCGACAGTGTGCGCACTGGCTGATCGGCTGCAACGTGCTGCCACCCAACCACCGGGTGACATGGGAGTCGGCGCAGGTCTTTGACCTGGCGCAGACCCTGCGGGACGGAGTGCTGCTGTGCCAGCTGCTCAACAACCTGCGGGCACAGAGCATCAACCTGAAGGAGATCAACCTGCGGCCGCAGATGTCACAGGTACGCGGACGGCGGGGGCGCGCACCGACACTGCGCCCGGATAACGGAACCCGGGGGAAAGGAGTCAAGACAATTATAAATACACACGTTATCTAGGGGTGTTTTTCTTAAAAGTAGAAAAAAATGAAATATATGGTTTGGCGGAGATAGTTATCTTTGGCTTTTTGAAGCCCCTTTCACTCTAGCAGAAGTTAAATCGGCTAACACCTCAAAACAGACGCTCCTGCCCTCTGTAGGTGATGTCTCATTTAACTTTGCGTTTTTTAATAATAGATTTTGGAGGTGACATCATGAAACCTGCTGTAGGTTTTAATCCAGCCTATTGCTAACGTACGCCTCACATTATGAATTTTAACAATAGTTTATATGTGTTTTAATAAGACATAATATTCAAATTATAAAAGAAGAAGAGGTATAAATCTGTAGCTATCATCATCATGCGAAGGCCAGTCAGTCACTCACTTTTACACTGTTTTTACACTGGCCAGCTAAGAAGCATCTCAGTCCTTTGACAGACTCCATTCCTGAATGATTCACAAGGCAGGGTCTCACAGTTAGCTGTGAAGACTCGCAAAGCGATTTCCCCATTGATTTTTTTTTTTCCGGATGAAAATTGAATTTTACCCCTGAAGGCCCAACTCACCCTTTAGGTGTGATTACCTGGATCAGACACGGCCCTCAGACGCGAACTGGGCTACCTCATTCACTGTGTGAGGGGGTGGGGCACTGGTGGTTTGAGTCTGACACTGGGAAATGGATTAATCAGAATCACCATTTGGACTGTCTGGTGGATTATTGAGAAAATCGAACCCGTGTTTGTGAGAGTGGGCTGAATGGGGGAGAGCAGGAGCGTGAAGGAGTTACACAGGGGGGTAGGGGGGGTGTCATTCCCACGCTGGGAATCTGACTTTGGGATTCCTCATTTGCACCGGTCAGATCTCTCAGCAAATTGTCGGCCATACCAGTCAGGCTGGGAAGCCCGAGGAACAGCCGGTGCACTGTAGAGGGCGACAGCGCATCATCTGCAGCAGTGCGTCACATGACATCAGACTGCTGAAACGATTGGCTGGCTGCCTGGACCACGTTTCCTCTGGGTACCGTCAGAGGGGTGAAGGAAAACGATCCAACATATTGAACATTAAGATGAAATTCACATTAATGAGAGCCCTGAATTATTCATGGGAGCAGCCAGCCATTTTATCATCTGCAAATTACTGCATGGGACCCCCTCACAAACGTGCAGTCTGAAGCAGGCCACTTAGCTTCTAGGTGCTTAATGTGCTCCTAAAAGCACCGGACCTCCTGGCCAGCGCTGGCGCTGTAATTAATACGCGATACATTACTGTCGATCATGATTTAATGAGCAACCCTTGGGAACATGTCGGTGGGATCTGTGATTAAGGCACGAGCATGACGGGCAGAGTAGCCACTCAGGTAACATGAAAGATTCCAGATGATCACGGGGCTTGAGCTCATGGTCACAGAAAAGCTGTCGGGCACCGTGACCCCGGCAGCCTAAGGCGGTTCTCGAACCCTGCAGCCTTTTAGGAGTTTGCTCTTTTATTTGCGGCGCGCATCTGGCGGTTCCCTGGAATGTGTTGGAGCATGTGTGCCTACAGGAAGCTGTAACAGGTGCAGAAAAGGTGAGGTTCAGTTTCCCTTTTAAGACACTTTGTGTGCCAGTGCGTGAAACCGCAGCTCGATGGTGAGAAACAGCTTGGCGATGGTGCCCCCCGCAAAGTTGCCTTTCTGAGACGGAGGCTGGGAAAAATACAACCCCCAGGGCAGGTCCAACTCTGACACCCGACGTTTGAAAACCCTGAGAAACTGAATCGGTTTGTTTCGGCATTTTCCCAGAAGGCTGCGGGTCTGGGTAAGGGCCATAGCGATTAGATAAAACCCAGCAGGCCTGAAATAAAGCCATGTTTTGGTATCATGAAGCATATTATTCTTATGTTGTTTGTGCGTGAAATGCTATTATCGGTAGCGACGCCCATGTTTTGCGGTAATCAGCATTGCTGTAGCTGTTATGTGGCATTAATGCCTACAGATAATGTCCATCCATCCATCCATCCATCCATTTTCTGAAAGCACTTCTCCTCTTCAGGGTCACGGGGGTCCAGAGCCTATTCTGGAGGCTACAGGCATAAGGCAGGGACCAACCCAGGATGAGGCACCAAACCCATCGCACTCACACACCATTCACTTACACACCATTCGCATACACATGCACACCTATAGCCAGTTTGGAAACCTCACCATGTTTTTAGATTTGGGGGGGAAACCAGAGTACCTGCAGGAAACCCCACAACATCACGGGGAGGACATGCAAACCCCACAAACATGGAGCCACGGCAGAGGCTCAGACCCTTGTCCTAGAGGTGCGAGGCGACAGTGCTAACCACTGCCTCACCATGCTGCCCCCTACAGATAATGTATCAAAATAATTTCATCATCCCCCTGTAGACTGTGGATACACTTCACTCACAGGGCCCCCCGTGGAGCTGAAATGCTCGTCAGCACGCAATCGCCCCCGCCCCTGCTCAGGACCACAGCTTCAGGCCTACATTACGCCAGCTGTGCCCTTGGGCTTGGGAAGAAGGTCATGGTGACTGGCATCAGGGGGTGAGATGGGAAGGAAGCAGGAGGCTTCTGGGCTGTGCCCCCCCCACTGCTGTTATTGGGTTATTTAATCAAACTCAAAGTCAGTGTTTTTTCTTGTATGATTATGGCCACATTCATACCACGTAAGGGACTCAAGGGAAAAACCTACAGGAAGAATATAAAACTTTTACATTTACTTTACATTTTACCATACATGATAATATATGGAAAAACATGTTTTCCACCTTCATTTGGAAATCCATCAGGAAATTCATGTTATGGTCTCAGAACTCAAAGTGAATGCATCAACGGAAAAGGATGGTTTCCTTTTCAAAATACTCCACTAATGTGGAAGTACTGTTCATGATTCAATTCAAGCTCATTCAAAGGATTATGTATAAAAACTAATAATGACAAAACATTCATTTAATATGCATTGTACATCAGTGCATTACTTATGTGTTTTTAGCATGAATAAAGGACATACAGACATGGACAAATTTGTTGGTACCTTTCCACAAAAAAAAAAAAACCACAGCTATCTCTGAAATAACTTGAAATTGACAAAAGTTTAATGGCATCCCTTATTGTTTATTCCATATTTAACCCAATGCAGACTTTGCTTTTGATTCAGTTGAATATTTTATATAAACAAATGAAAATAGCATGGACAAAAAAGATGGTACCCTTAATTCAATATTTTGTGGCACCACCTTTTGCAGCAATCAATGCCAAATAACGAACTATGTACTTCACAATGAGACGTCTGCATTTGCCAACAGGTAGTTTGGCCTACTCTTCCTGAGGAAACTGCTCAAGCGGTCTCGGGTTCGAAGGGTGGTGTCTCCACACTGCAATTTTCAGATCTTTCCAAGGATGTTGTGGCTCATGGAGGGCAATTTAAGAATAGTCCAATGTTTTCTCTTCTTGAATGCTTTTAGCTGTATGTTTTGTGTCATTATCCTGTTGGAGGACCCATGACCTGTGACTGAGGCTGAGCTTTCTGACACTGGACAGTATGTTTCATTCCGGGATGCCTTGTTAGTCTTGAGACTTCATTGTGCTCTGCATAGATTCAAGGTTCCCCGTGTCAGATACAGCAAAGCAGCCCCTAAACAAAACTGCCCCCCCTCCATGTTTCTCAGTAGGTATGGTGTTCTCTTCTTTTAAAGCTTCATTTTCCTTCAGTACACATAGAGCTCATGTGACTGGCCAAAAGCTCAAACTTTGGGTTGTCAACATGCATTTTGGCAAATTCCACTCTGGCTTTATGTTTTTCTGTTAATAGTGGAGCCTCCTGGGTCGTCATCCATGGAGCCCATTATTGTTCAAAATGCGATGGATGGTGCAATCAGAAAATGACGTACCTTGACCTTGGAGCTCAGCTTGAATGGTTTTGGATGGTTTCCTTGGCTCTTTTTCTACATCCACACTATCCTTCTGATCAACCTGGAGCTGCATTTCCTCTTGCATCCACGTCCTGGGAGGTTGGCCACAGTCCCATGAACCTTATACTTTTTAATAATATTGGCAACTGTGGTCACAGGAACATGAAGCTGCTTGGAGATGGTCTTATAGCCTTTACCTTTGACCTGATTATCTCTAATCTTCTTTCTGAGCTCCTCAGACAGCTCTCTCCTTTGCTTTCTCTGGTCCATGTTCAGTGTGGTGCACACAGTGATACCAAACAACACAGTAGCATGTTCTTTCCCTATAAATAGGCTGAATGGCTGATGAAAAGCTTGACGGCACCTGTGATACTAATTAAGGTTAAACACTTTGTTTGAAACATGACTATAATGCAAGGATAAATAGTCTCTTTAGGGCTACCAACAAATCTGTCCATACTATTTTAGCATATCTTTGCAAAATAAACAACAAACCATTTCTATTCACAATTTTATTGGTTTACTCTATCACATACTAATGGCATGCAGGTATACATTAGACAATTGCTTTTAATTGAATCACTTTTCATGAGAAATTAAGCATTTTTCAGTGAGCTGAAAGGGTACCAATAACACGTCTGTATATGACTATTGACACGTTTAATATGGTTTGTCCATGAATGAGGCATATATATGTTTGACGGTACATTCATTTCATATGTATTTTACATCGGTAAATTACATATACCTCTAATGACACATAAAGTTAATATGGATTGTGTATTTATTGTTAGTGTCATATAAAGAGCTTATATGATTTCGATGAGACGCTTAACAGTCATATGTTATTTTTAAAAAACTGTTCTATATGGGCAGATTCCCAGAAACATGGATGTTTTATAAGTCAAGCACTCAAGGATCGTCTTTCTCACTTGCAGGTTTTTGCAATCATGTTATTAATAAGCATCGATAAAATTTTTCCATCTCGATTACTCGGCAATATGGTGG